GTGCGTTTTTCCGTGTAAAGTGGCTGCAGCCGGCGATTAAAGCTACCTCGTCTGTGCGGCGGTTGCGGCTGGGGTCGTTTGGTTCCTTGTATGTGTTTTGTAACAATGCTTGTTCCTGTCTATGTATTTCTATGCGTTTCTTGTTTTTGTGGTGCTAGATCGCATTGGAATGGCTGTATGATGTTGCATGCCGTGTGTTATGGGAAGGAAGCCGGAACACGAAACCGTGCGTTTTTCCGTGTAAAGTGGCTGCAGCCGGCGATGAAAGCTACCTCGTTTGTGCGGCGGTTGTGGCTGGGGTCGTTTGGTTCCTTCTATGTGTTTTGCAACAATGCTTGTGCTTGTGTGCGTAGTTCTATACGTTTCTTGACTTTGTGGTGCCAGATCGCATTGGAATGGTTGCATGATCTTGCATGGGCATTGTGTTGGGGAGGAAGCCGGAGCACGAAACCGTGTGTTTTTCCGTGTAAAGTGGCTGCAGCCGGCGATGAAAGCTACTTCGTCTGTGCGGCGGTTGCGGCTGGGGTCGTTTGGTTCCTTCTATGTGTTTTGCAACAATGCTTGTTCCTGTGTGCGTAGTTCTATGCGTTTCTTGACGCTGTGGTGCCAGATCGCATTGGAATGGCTGCATGATGTTGCATGGGCTTTGTGTTGGGGAGGAAGCCGGAGCACGAAACCGTGTGTTTTTCCGTGTAAAGTGGCCGCAGCCGGCGATGAAAGCTACCTCGTCTGTGCGGCAGTTGCGGCTGGGGTCGTTTGGTTCCTTCTATGTGTTTTGCAACAATGGTGCTTCCTGTGTGTGTAGTTCTATGCGTTTCTTGAAGTTGTGGTTGCAGATCGCATTGGAATGGCTGCATGAATGTTGCATGGGCTTTGTTTTGGGGAGGAAGCCGGAGCACGAAACCTTGTGTTTTTCCGTGTAAAGTGGCTGCAGCCCATGAAAGGTACCTCGTGTGTGCGGCGGTTGCGGCTGCGGTCGTTTGGTTCCTTCTATGTGTTTTGCCACAATGCTTGTTCCTGTGTGCGTAGTTCTATGCGTTTCTTGAAGCCGTGGTTACAGATCGCATTGGAATGGCTGCGTCAAGGTTGCTTGATGCCGCGCCTGCATGCATAATACGATTGTCTTTTGCAGCTGAAGATCGTAAATCGTATTGGAGTGGCTGCATCCAGGCTGCGATAGTGATGTATCAGCAGATTTTCTCAATTTTGGCGCTAATAATTTTCCTTTTAAAATTCCTTTTAAAAAGTGCTTCAAAATCGTCTTTTTGTCGCTTTGGCGTCGAGATCCGGTTTTGGAGCTGCAATTTCCGACACCGTTGCGGGCAGTTCTTTTATGTTTTCCAACTCAGTCTCTGCAGATCGCATTGTAGTGGCTGCGTCAAGGTTGCTCGGTGCTGCGGCTGCATGCGTAATACTATATTGTCTTTTGCAGCTGAAGATCGTAAATCGTATTGGAATGGCTGCATCAAGGCTGCGAAAGTGAATTGTCAGCAGATTTTCTCAATTTTGGCGCTAATAATTTTCCTTCTAAAATTCCTTTTAAAAAGTGCTTCAAAATCGTCTTTTTGTCGCTTTGGCGTCGAGATCCGGTTTTGGAGCTGCAATTTCCGACGCCATTGCACGTAGTTCTATTGTGTTTTGCAACTCAGTCTCTGCAGATCGCATTGTCGTGGTTGCGTCAAGGTTGCTTGGTGCAGCGGCTGCATGCGTAATACTATTGTCTTTTGCAGCTGAAGATCGTAAATCGTAATGGAATGGCTGCGTCCAGGCTGCGAAAGTGATTTATCAGCAGATTTTCGCAATTTTGGCGCTAGTAATTTTCCTTTTCAAAGTCCTTTTAAAAAGTGCTTCAAAATCGTCTTTTTGTCGCTTTGGCGTCGAGATCCAGTTTTGGAGCTGCAATTCCTATTGTGATTATGTACAAGAAAGCTTCTCTGTGCAAAAACTATTTCTGTAAAAGCTTGCTGTGTGTAAAAGCTTCTCTGTAAAAGCGTCTCTGTGTAAAAGTTTCTGTGTGTAAACGCTTGCCATGTGTAAAAGCACTGTGCGTAAGTGTTCTGTGTGTAAACGCTTGCTGTGTGTGAAAGCTTGCTGTGTGTAAAAGCTTCTCTGTGTAAAAGCGTGTTGTGTGTAAAAGCTTCTCTGTTTAAAAAGCTTGCTGTGTGTGTAAACGCTTGCCATGTGTAAAAGCACTGTGTGTAAGTGTTCTGTGTGTAAACGCTTGCTGTGTGCGAAAGCTTGCTGTGTGAAAAAGATTTTGTGTAAAAGCTTGCTGGGTGTGAAAGCTTGCTGTGTAAAGCTTTTCTGTGTAAAAGCTTGCTGTGTGTAAAAGCTTCTCTGTTTAAAAAGCTTGCTGTGTGTGTAAACGCTTGCCATGTGTAAAAGCACTGTGTGTAAGTGTTCTGTGTGTAAACGCTTGCTGTGTTTGAAAGCTTGCTGTGTGAAAAAGATTTTGTGCGTAAAAGCTTGCTGTGTGTAAAAGCCTCTCTGTGTGTAAAAGCGTCTCTGTACAAAAGTTTCTGTGTGTAAACGCTTGCCATGTGTAAAAGCACTGTTTGTAAGTGTTCTGTGTGTAAACGCTTGGTGTGTGAAAGCTTCTCTGTGAAGAAGCTTGTTGTGTGTAAAAGCTTCTGTGTGTAAAAGCTTCTCTGCTTGAAAAGCTTGCTGTGTGTAAAAGCTTCTCTGCGAAAGAACTTGATGTGTGTAGAAGCTTTGTAGTACAAAGTAGTACTGGAACGTGTTTTGTGCAAGCTTTGTAATACAAAGTAGTACTGGGAAGTAGTTTGTGCAAGCTTTGTAGTACAAAGTAGTACTGGGGAGTGCTTTGTGCAAGCTTTGTAGTACAAAGTAGTACTGGAAGGTGTGTTGTGCAAGCTTTGTAGTACAAAGTAGTACTGGGAAGTGCTTTGTGGGAAGTAGTTTGTGCAAGCTTTGTAGTACAAAGTAGTGCTGGGGAGTGCTTTGTGCAAGCTTTGTAGTACAAAGTAGTACTGGAAGGTGTGTTGTGCAAGCTTTGTAGTACAAAGTAGTACTGGGAAGTGCTTTGTGCAAGCTTTGTAGTACAAAGTAGTACTGGGAAGTGTTTTGTGCAAGCTTTGTAGTGCAAAGTAGTACTGGAACGTGTTTTGTGCAAGCTTTGCAGTACAAAGTAGTACTGAAACGTGTTTTGTGCAAGCTTTGTAGTACAAAGTAGTACTGGGAAGTGCTTTGTGCAAGCTTTGTAGTACAAAGTAGTACTGGGAAGTGCTTTGTGCAAGCTTTGTAGTACAAAGTAGTACTGGAACGTGTTTTGCGCAAGCTTTGTAGTACAAAGTAGAACTGGGAAGTAGTTTGTGCAAGCTTTGTAGTACAAAGTAGTACTGGGAAGTGCTTTGTGCAAGCTTTGTAGTACAAAGTAGTACTGGAACGTGTTTTGTGCAAGCTTTGTAGTACACAGTAGTACTGGGAAGTGCTTTGTGCAAGCTTTTGTAGTAGACATCAGTACTGTGAAGTACTTGACATGAAAATAGCCAAGAAGAACTGAGCTGACATATGGGAAGACATGGAATGAGATGAGAAGAGCTCAGATGAGATGAGTTGAGATGAAGTGCAAGTGTGGAGTGTGGGGTGTGAAGAGTGCAATGTGAAGTGTGAGGAAAGTGTTTGCATTGTACCCGGGTCGCGCGCAGGTCATGTTCTTGGACAGCAACACTGCAACAGCTTCGCACAAAGCACGCAGGCACGGGCCTGGCTGGCGCACGGCGCATGCAAGTTCCTTAGTAGTAGTACTGGGAAGTGATTCATGAAAGCTTAGATGACATATGAGAAGAGATGAGCTGGGATAAGGTGAGAAGAGCTCAGATGAGATGAAGTGTGAAGAGTGAAGTGTGGGGCGTGAAGTGTGAAGTGTGGAGTGTGAAGTGTGGAGTGTGGAGTGTGAAGTGTGAAGTGTGGACTGTGAAGTGTGAAGTGTGGAGTGTGAAGTGTGAAGTGTGAAGTGTGGAGTGTGCAGTGGGAAGCGTGCAGTGTGAAGTGTGGAGTGTGGAGTGTGGAGTGTGAAGTGTGGAGTGTGAAGCGTGAAGTGCGAAGTGGAGCTTCAAATGTGACATGTGAAACAGGACACCACTTTCGCAGAGTGCACGCACGCACGGGCTTGGCTGGCGCACGGCGCATGCAAGTTCTATAGATGAGAAAGGTCTTATATATATCTTTAAGGCAACTTCCGCCCCGCCTCGTGCGGGTACTACTGGTAACCATTATTCACCATGAAGCTAACCATGAAACTCACCTATTCACCATTTTTCCACTATTATTCATTTTTAGCCATAATGGTTAATAGTGATGGTTAATAGTGGTTAATAGGTGAGTAATTTGATGTTTCACCATTATTCACCTTCACCTATGAAATTCACCTATTAACCAGCTAACCATGAAACTCACCTATTCACCACTATTAACCATCATTTTTCCATCATCTTCTTGTCTCGTCCATCCTGAGTCTCACGGCTCGCGGATCTGCGCCACACGCGTTTGCACCTCAGAGCGCAGCTGGGCATAGCTGGGCGAGATCCCAACGGATGGTTAGCCATCTCTTAGGATCCATAGATAGTATGTACAATGTGTATATATATATATATGCATATGTAAGTATATGTATGTATATGTATGTACATGTATGTATATGTGTATATCATACTAGATCACAATGGATTCTATCATATTCTATCCCAACTGATGTTGAGATTCGTTAGAATCTCTAGGACTCTAGGATCATCCCAACGGCAGCCAGCAGCAACCTTTTTTCTCACTCCGGCGCTAAGACACCCAGGGTTGCCCAGGGTGTCACCCTGATGGAGATCCGAAACCATGGTTGTTTGTCTGAAAATAAGGTAGCAAGATCATGGTCTACAGTCTGGGAATTTAACGTAAGCGATAGCGATTGACAATCACCATCAACATAATAGCTACAGTACAGTAAATCGGTAAATCCTCGAAGTCACTGAGTCATGTCCATGTTCCATAGCAAACTGCGAAATGACTGGAAGCTAAAGTCCAAAACCCCTCAGCTTTTCCGATGTTTTTTTCATGGGTCGATCCCCCTAGCCTTGGTCCGTTCTCAGTCCTCCTTCCTGCGCAGGGGGGATGAGCTGGGGAAGTCATTCCACACCTCCAAAACAAAAAACAACAAGTATCAAAAAGTGAAAAATGCGCATATGTACATATGCTGCGCGATGATATTTTTTCGGGATACATGTATCACCATATTTGTTGGGATACTTTTTGGTGTATATATGTGTATACATATGTATGTATGTATGCATGTATGTATGTATGTACGTATGTATGTATGATTATGTATCTATGATTATGTATGTATGTATGGATGGATGGATGTATGTGTATGTATGTGTATGTATATGTATGTGTATGTATGTGTATGTATGTGTATGTATGTGTATGTATGTGTATGTATGTGTATGTATGTATATGAATGTATATGAATGTATATGTATGTATATGTATGTGTATGTATGTGTATGTATGTGTATGTGTATGTATGTGTATGTATGTGTATGTATGTGTATGTATGTGTATGTATGTATATGTATGTGTATGTATGTATATGTATGTAAATGTATGTATATGTATGTATATATGTATGTATATGTATGTATATGTATGTATATGTATGTATATGTATGTATATGTATGTATATGTATGTATATGTATGTATATGTATGTGTATATGTATGTATAGGTATGTATATGTATGTATATGTATGTATATGTATGTATGTATATGTATGTATATGTATGTATATGTATGTATATGTATGTATATGTATGTATATGTATGTATATGTATGTATATGTATGTATATGTATGTATATGTATGTATATGTATGTATATGTATGTATTATGTATGTATGTATATGTATGTATATGTATGTATATGTATGTATATGTATGTATATGTATGTATATGTATGTATATGTATGTATATGTATGTATATGTATGTATATGTATGTATATGTATGTATATGTATGTATGTATGTATGTATATGTATGTATATGTATGTATATGTATGTATATGTATGTATATGTATGTATATGTATGTATATGTATGTATGTGTATGTATATGTATGTATATGTATGTATATGTATGTATATGTATGTATATGTATGTATATGTATGTATGTATGTATGTATGTATATGTATGTATATGTATGTATATGTATGTATATGTATGTATATGTATGTATATGTATGTATATGTATGTATATGTATGTATATGTATGTATATGTATGTATATGTATGTATATGTATGTATATGTCTGTATATGTATGTATATGTATGTATATGTATGTATATGTATGTATATGTATGTATATGTATGTATATGTATGTATATGTATGTATATGTATGTATATGTATGTATATGTATGTATATGTATGTGTATGTATGTGTATGTATGTGTATGTATGTATGTATGTATGTATGTGTATGTATGTATGTATGTATGTATGTATGTATGTATGTATGTATGTATGTATGTACATATATATATATATACGCATATACCCCAGAAGAAATCATTTTAGGTGATACATCGCTACAAGTATTAAAGTAATAGCCCCAATGAGTTACACCCTTGGGCTGACATTAGCCATGTCCAGCAACAGGTGGACGAAAAATCCTCAGCGCAGGTGTGGTGGAAATTCTCCTGTCCCATCTCATGAAATATACTGGTTGGTTAATAGTCTGACTTGTTGTTATCTACATAAGATAACAAATTAATTTATCAGATAACATAGATAAATACTATTGGTGAATAGCTATCCCCATCATGGTTTATGTCAATCCCCAAAGAGATCGAAGAGTATTTTGTCACTAGTGGAAAAGTAGGGGTGTCACTTTTCTATCTTTTGGGTAACTGGGTTTCTCCCAACACCCCAGATACAAGGGGGTGAAACTGGCTAGATACAGCGGTAAAATGACTACTTACCTCCCTTGTGGCTATCATTTACCATCATTTAGCTATAATTGATTGGAGCCATGAACCATCATTTACCATCATTTACCATCATTTGCCATCATTTACCTATTAAATGACCACCATTTCCCTATCCTTTACCATCATTTCCTGTAGGATCTCCTACAACTCATCAGGTCTTCTGGGCCCGTCCGCTTTCCATCCTGCTCTTGTTGGGATGGCCATATCTCCACCAAGCGTACCAGCAAAGCGCATTGGACAGCAACGTGAAGATGGTCCTGCCGGCCATGCCACAACTGGTACCAAAAAACCGCCTGGAACCTTAGCTATTAAATCTTTAGTACCCAATAAGATGGAAACAAAAAAAACAACTATGTGATTATGAGATTAACTTCTTAGAATCATTTTCCGGAACCCCCAACAAGATGGAAACAAATCCGCACAAACGATGGGAATTGCTGAGAAAAATCTTGGGGATTTCTGGGGCTGGTACCGACGTTCCCAGATCCTGGCAGACAGTGGCATCATGGCCAGGCACCCTCTGGCAGCTGGATCGAAGAGGAAGCGCCTCCCATTTTTTCAACGGCGCTCCACGAAAATCATGTGGAAACCTTGGAAACCTGGAAATTTCTCTGGAAATTCATCATCGCAACCCCATCTTTGGTCACTTTTCGGCATCTTGTTGGGGCAATTCATGCTTTGAATCCCGTGCTGCTTGTTCCAGGGCTTGCTGGTCATGGATTTTATATCATGGTTCCGAACAAGTTCCAATCTTGGAAGCGCTGAGCAAATTTGGGCTAACTTTCTGCAGCTATGCTGCGCATAGAGCCATCTGGAAACACCGGACACAATATTGTCCACCGCCTGAGTTGCATACTTCATAGTAGAGATGGGTCAAGGGCCGAAGAAGTGGGGTAGCAACCACAACACCATGTTGTTGCATTCAACCACAATGTGCTGGTTTCTTAAAATGGGCGATGCCTAATTCACCATAGGTTTCAATACTAAAATGGTCTAATGACTTGGATGCTTTCGGGGTACCCACATTTTGGGAAACCTCCATGTTTGTATTGTCCTATTTCCGACAGACAAAGAATTCAAGCATTTTCAAGCCATAAGCATGGTGACAGCCAACCTTGACAGCTTTCAGAAGGGTGATCACTGTACCACTGCGCCCATCTAAGTGGGGCACGATGAGCAGTCCGTTCGCAGATGCCTGCGCCTGAAGGGCTTTGTTTCATCCTGCAGCTAAAATATTGAAGCCGATTCTCATCATCATCACCAACTCATACAATAGTGGGTCATTGACCCTTGCTTAGGTTGGGCACATTGGGATTCCGGCTTTTTGGGTGTTTAACCTACATTCTTGAATGGGTGACAGTCAATGTTGAACTCTCTCAAAACTCACTCATTCTTCATATTCACCTGGATCTGGGTCAAAATTCAGTACCCCAAACTTGGATTGCCAAAAATGGCCCAAATGGATATGGGTCAAAATTGGGTACCCCAATAATCAGATGATTAACCCATATGATATTGGTTACAGTAATACTAAAAATGGACTAAGATTTGTGGTCCCCCAGGTCTTAAATTTTAACCCCGAAATCATCCTGGTTCCCGTTGCACCACATCTTTATGGTGAACCAACCGTTCACCAACCCCCCACCTCGCGCGGGAACTGCGAGCTGAAGAATGCAGCATCAGCACCGCCGTCCCCAGGACACAGGGCCAGAAAACACCTCCGGCCGAAAATGCCCATCGATTCATCACCATAAAGGACCAAGAGGGTGGCAGAATTTTATGGGGCATCTTGGGGCATGGCTTTGAAAAAAAGGCTAACACTGCGGAAAAAAAAACGGGGGGGGACATCCGGGACAAGTCACAAAATTAAGTCACAATTGGCATTGTATGCCATTGATGGGTCACAAAACGGGGGAGCGATGCCAAAGATTCGCTCCGCTTGGCCTGGGTACCAGTAGGAAGATCGCACCAAAGGGTCCGAAATTCTGAATGATCAACCTGAGCCATGCAAGATCATACAAGATAACTATCAAGATCTCTGCAACTGGTGCAAAACAAACAAAATAACATGATAAATGACGTTTGTTTTGGCAGTATGGATGCAGCTGGAGATCTAGTCAACGATTTACAATAGGTCAATGTGGCCAAAAATAGCCCAAAATCCAGCACTCATTGATCCATTCTAGTATTGAAACCAGTCAGTTTCAGTCTTTCTCATTGTATGGATGCAGACGTCCACTTCAAGCCTTCCGTCGAATCTGAAAATGCCCATCCCAAAAATTGCCCTGGGATTGTCTACCCAGATTTTGTAGTCACATTACCCGAAACCCAAATTTGGCCTCTACAAAACCAGAAGCATGCAAGTTGAACATCAATTTGCTGGCTGAAGCTCACTTCGGCCCATTGCCGCATAGTGGCATGGCGGAGCCAAAGAGGAGGTTGGCCTGCATGAACCAGTAGCTATTGCCGGGCTGTTGAGCCCATTGCACCATAAATCCACTGGTCACCATGCCCCAAATCTCGCGAAAGCTGCTGATGGGCACGTTGAATAAGTCCCAATCGCCAGGACCCCAACCTGAGTCTTGCTCAGGGTCAGGGAAGCGCCGTTTTCGCTCCAAACGTTCTATTTTTTCAATTGAAAAACTTAGCATAGCTTTTACCCTCCGGTGTCCTCAAACGTGACTAGCTGGAACATGGCCGATCTACCAGGTACAAACCTCCATTTAGTTCGGGGATTTCACAGCCACGTTTGATAACACCGGAGGACAACTGCTGAGAAGCCCAAGATGGAGATCATGAAGGAATCTTGGATCGATTCCCAACCATTCCCCAGTTGATTCAGCAGCATCTGAGCCAAGCGGATCTGCAAAAATGCTGAGCTCCACAGCAGCTGATATGGCGCGCGTAGTTCGCTAAGGAGATGCCTCAAACCTTTTGGGGTGGCCGGAAGGTGGGGTTTTTGAGTCGCTATTTCTCCCAGATATCAGGGGTTTTTGACTACTACACATGTTCGCAACAAATCCCTGAAGTGTGGGAGGTCAAGGGACACTGGGGTCCCCAAAAATCTGCCAGCTATAATCTTTAAGGCATCATCTCAGAGTCAACCACTGAACCACCACGAGGTCTCAAATGCCCAGCCCAATCATATATATAGCTGAGATTCGCCCTTGGTCGTGGATGATTCCCCATGCTACCAACCCTCAGCCTCGTGGTGTTTACCAATAGTTTGCCATGGTTCTGGTTTTTTTGGACAAATCCTGGTACCCTCTGGTAATTTAACGTAGCTATGGAAAATCACCATGTTTGATGGGAAAACTCACTATAAATGGCCATTTTCAATAGCTATGTTAGTTTACCAGAGGGTAAATCAATCAACGATTTCTATGCGAAAAACTGGAGCAAAATCCCCACCTGGCAGAGCCGCCAGGGCTTCGGGTTCTGCTTTTTTCACCAGGGTCTCTTCGAGGCAAAGGTGGCAGAAGAGCAAAATCAGCAAACCCAGCAGGCCAGCCAGCATGCAGAGCAGGTCGAAGCGCATGAACTGCACCCTGAAATGGGAAAATCCCAGGATGGAAGATGTGTTTTTGGGGAAAAAACAAGGAAAAAACATGGGATAATCATGGGAATACAATATATAAATGTAGTTGAATATGTATGAATATCTATATGCTGTGTATATATTCGAGTACAAATAACTTGCCTGGATGTTTTTCCAAAAAGGAATTTCCATGTTTTTTAATCTTTTGCCAGGGGCTTTCCTTTGCGATTCAAACCAATTTGAAACGGAACATGGTCCTTATCAGGACCTACCTGGATGTATGATGATGTATGGGGGTGTATCTACCAGCAACAAAAGACGACCTATAATAAGAGCAACTGACAATGCTACGACCAGCTTGTTCATCAATGGACATGGTCTGCCTCTGAGAATGCCAAAAATAATATGTAAACCACAATAATAAACCATCTCCAATCATGTGGTTCATAATTGTGTATACCCCTGCTTGGAATGGCTTATGATAAAGTAGCCTCCCTTCTGTCGTTTGTCCAAGTTCATGGATTGTGATGATCCCCTATATACATTGGATAGGACAACCCCAGAACTAATAGTCAACCAACCATCATTTCAAGTCTTCTCAACTATAGTCCCGAAATGGTTAAGACCCTATAAACCCCTATAATTTCACGGAGGTGGTTTGAACGCAGCCACTGAGGCAAGTCTCTTTTGAATCCAGATCACAAAGCAAAGCGTGATACCACGGCTGAAGACCTAAGTGAAATCAACCCTGGTTGAAGCAGAACGAACATACCTTGGAAGCCTGGAGATGTCTGTTTATCGACAATGGAAAATAGATGGTTTACAATGACAAATCCTATAAAAAAATTGATGATTTAACAATGGGTACCCCCATGACTTAGGAACCCCCCATATGTGGAATACATCGTCTACACATACCATCCTGGTTTCACACTTTTCGGTATCATTTTTTGGGATTGCTGTCATGTTGTGCTGGTTGTGTATTTTAGGTGATTGATACCCTCTGGTAGTCAAACATGGCTTGCTGGAGAACCCCCATTTATGTCGATGATTTTCCAATTGACATGCCCATTTAGTTCAGAGATTTCCCAGCTAGCCATATCTAATTACTGGAGGGGGTACTGTATTTCATCCACTGACCTTATGGTTTTCCCAAGGGTTCCCTGCTGGCCACCCTCATCATCCCACTTCATGGCTGCTGGTTCCCAACAACTTCCGACCTTCTGCCGGCCGTGGTCACCACAGCCACCACGGTTACCACACCAGGCGGCATCAGTGTGGTTCAACACCACAAACCCCTTGGCGCGGTGTTGTGGGTCCAGCAAATCTGCTACCATCGACTTGAAGCAAAGGTTGAAAGCCTCGCACATCATGGGTCAACTGGGTCAACTGGATCAAAAAAAAAATCCAAAAAAGTTCTGATAAATCGTTTAATACCGGGGTTGTCCAAAAATGATGGCCTTCACCACCAATATTAGTGTATTTTGTGTAACAGTATATCCGTCTTGTTTTTTTTGGCAAACCCAGTAGGTCTTTATCGTTCCCTGTGGAACATGGGAGCTAACTTAGATGGTCCCCCTTTGCTGATGGCTTTGGGACCACAAGTTCTGCAATCTGTTTGCTCGTCAGGCTGATTTTGATTTTGAATGTCCACAAGTTTGAGCTGCGGAAGAAGCGGCATAAAATGATTAAAATGATTCCCTCCCAAAATTCCATGACATCATGTCCTCAAAAATGACAATAGAACCCAAGTTACAGCACTCCATGGAATCGCCCATCCCCATGTTTTAGTGCAGGGCCCCGAGATCACAAAGCCAAGAAGCTGTTGTGCAGCCCTGCAAAGCCAGCGCAAAGCTCAAGGTCCTCAGTTCGATACGTTGATTGTTTGGATTGCTTGGGTGTACAAACAATATCAACCAATCCCATCCCCTCAAAATGTCAACAAAAAAAATCTACCTCCCAAAATGAACAGGGCCAGTGCTTAGGGGTGAAGGGATTAATTGCGACGTTTTGTCACCAAATGAAATTTGCCAAGTCCTGTGGGCCTGAAGGTCCAGGTCGCGATGAGTTTGTTTCACGTTTTGTTGGCAAGCTCAAGTATGACAGTATGACATGTGAATCTTTGTTCCAAACTCCGAAAAATCCAGCTCAACAGCCCAGATGTACTTTCCTCGATCTGGCTTTGTCTGAAATTTTGGTACCTGCAGTACCCCAAAATCACTTGGTTGATAGCCATTTCCCTCGAGAATGTATGTAATATATTCTATCATACATAATATATATATAGGGTTTTGCCCCACTTTCAGACAAACCCATCTGGATCAAGTACACCAATATATCCCATCACTGCAATGGAGCCTCGGTTTTCCAGCTTCACACCCTTACTTGGGGTTTCCAGTTATTTCATTGGAGATATTTCACCACAGTTTTTTCGGGACCCTTTTTTTGCACCGCAAAATCATCGCATGGTACCCGTGAAAACAATCCCAACTCCAGCCCTTACATGGAGGTTTCCTAAACTGGTGGTACCTCCATATCATCCAAGTCATTAGACAATGACTTAGTATTGAAACAACTATGGTGACTTGGAGATTCCCCGATTTTAAGAAGCCTCCCAAAAAAACCAAGGTCAACTTCACCCTAGCTCCAGTCGCTCCAGTGCCCAGTGGCCAGATGGGTGGAATCAGAGTCTGCCGGCAGGCCAACATCATGAGCCAGGAGGCAGCTGTGATGCCCGAGATGCTGAGCATCAGAACAGGTTTGCCTCGAGCAGTTTCGCACACAAAAACAATCCATAAATCCTGAGTCCAAGTGCCATCTTTATCATCTTTATCATCTTTATCATCTTTATCATCTTTCCCATCCCCAAGGAAGTTTGAGGTTTATGTCTGGTTGGTGGTTTTAACAATCTTGAAAAATATGAAAGTCAATGGGAAGGATTATCCCATAATATTATGGAAAATAAAATTCATGTTTGAAACCACCAACCAGATCTATTATTTGGGTATACCCCAAACTGACTGGGATGATTGGGTTTACCAAATATCCCCAAATCTGCGGGTCCTAGTGATAGTGGTCCCTGTCCACCCGGGAGTTCCAAGTTGCGCCCGTGATAGTCACAGAGAGCCCCAAGGAAGGGACCGGAGATCATGCGACAGAACAACTTCAGAGCCACCAGCCACGCTTCTTGTTGAAGCGAAATGGAAATCACCAGGTTTCGATCTCCACAATGCAAGGAGCCTGAGTAAACTTCATCACCTCAGGTGGATGGACATTTTAACCGGCAAAAACCATGTGAATTATATAACGGTATCAGCATGTTTTTCTTCAAGGCAGTAGCCCCACATGTCAGCAACTTGTCAGATTTGTCAAAGTATTGACACACAACTGATCAACCAATCAAGCAACCAAGCTTCCAGGCAATCAAACAGCCAACACGAAAGCATCAAACACATCAGTCAGCTCAGTCAGGTCAGTCGTCATTTGATTCCACAAACCCACCATTTTCTGCGTCCTTCAAGTGGCTCACGGGAACGTCACAAAGCACCAAACTTCGCAGCAACGGCAGGTAGAGTTTGATGCTTGAAACCTTCATCGGAACAACTCAAACAGGAACAGCCGACCTAGCCATCAAACGGAATGTCATGGAATAGAATAGACCTATATGTGGTGTATGATAGATTATATATATATTACAAAATATGTATTATATTACATGTTATATATATATACATCATTGCCAACTCCACTATGGCCAGTTCAAGGATGATCACAACTAAGAAAAAGCGATGTCCAATCTCTCAGCAATTCGCCAATGGGAGCTGCTGCCCAACCCAGCAGAGGAGCCATTCAGGATAGATCAGATATGGTATTTGGATATACTTTTTGTTGTTATATTCACTATGTACTTGTTTATATATGGTACTGTACCCTCACCCAAGACCTACCCTTTCTCATGTGTCTCATTCAGCTTCCAGCCCAGTTCCAACCAGAAATATGGTCGTGAAACCCCAGAAGAAGGGCTTAGAATCCCAAGCAGATCACATGTCTGGTTGGAGGGCCCCCAGGCTGCCATCATGACCACCCTAGAGATGCGCGTGCAAGTGGCATTAATGAATCCCAGGGGAACATAGATCGCAAAAGCTACCCAGAGCGTTCGTGGCAGCACCTCAAAAAATTCAGCGACGCTGAGACCGTCTTTGAAAAACTGCTTACGAAAAAAAAAGGCCAAAAAAAATGAACTAAGGAAACAACATGAAACAAGCCTAAGTGTGTCTCCCAATTTTTGGCTTCAACATGCTTCAACCGTCAACCCAAACCCAGTAGGATTTGGCTCCAACATGAAGCTTGGGAATGGGCTCTTGCGCAGGGCCCGTTGGAGAAAGGAACAAAGCATGTAAAGAAGAGATCTCACTTAAGTTTATAGTAACCCTCAAAAGATCAAAAGTAATTCGTCACTGTTTGGGTACAACTTGGGGGTTGCTATATATGTTTCCCCCACCGATTACTTGCAACACATCCTTGCAGCGCAATTACCCATCCCTGAACCCCCCCGTTACTTTCCATTTGGCTGTGTCTGACAATAGCCATTTGATACTTTGATACCCCCAATTTTCATGCTGAATCACCAGTTTCCCCGGGAAAAAAAAAAAACATGATTTTCTGCCAAATACACCATGATCATCAAATGATAATCCATGATCACCATTGTCCCAATAAAAATTGCAACCCAGCTGTAGCACCATTTTCCCCCCTGGCCGCTGCAACCCGCCCGTGTCAGGCAGCATAGAGCTCTCGAAGCCCCTGGGCGCCCGCGACTAGCTTGGCCCTGAGAGACATCACCTTGGTGTAGGCCGTGAACCAAATGGATATAACTAAACCAGGGTTGTGTGCCCCCAGAAATTTCGATATCATCCATATAACTATGTGAAAATATGTGAAAATATTTGAAAATATAAACATGTTTCTTCACTTGTAACTAGAACTGCACCAGTAGTGGTTTCAAAGTGTCTTTTATTTGCAAACTTTACAAATATCCCGAGACTACATCAACACCAAGCTGATTGTAGCACATCATTTTTTTTGCATGGAGACTTAGTGAAAGACATACCCTCTGGTCGTTATCTCCATGGCAGGCTGGAAAATCCCCAATCTATCGATGATCGATGATTTTAACCTTCGGTTATATATACGGAATTTCCCACTGCCATCTTTGATTACCGGATGGTACCCTCTGGTAATTTAACATAGCTATTGAAAATCGCCCATATATATTTGATTTTGCATTAACATGGAAATGTTCCATATGTTGTGTTAGTTTACCAGAGGGTATCTATTGGAACAAAGAAAGGGCCACAATCACCGGCAACTTCTGCCTGATCTCACCAACATTGCGCAGCGGGCTTTGGCTGCAGCGTTCGCCGATCAAAACTGACATGGGGGACGGGTTTCTGCATACTGCTTTGATGATTTACAGCAACTATGGCATATTGTATCTACATCGATATCGTGCATAATAATGATGAATATATATATGTGATTATATATTAATCTATATAAATATATACATATATGTATCTCCATGTGTATATATATATATGTGTGTGAGAGAGAGAGAGTGTGTGTGTGTGTCTAACCATGTGTTTCAAGTTGAACACCATGGGTTGACACTTCTGAGTACTTCTGACATGAATTGTGACCAATCTGCCGGCCATTTCCCATGGATGTCCCAAGAAATTGGCTCAAGCCAAAACTGATGCGGCGATCACAGCTGATTGGAGGCTCAGAAAAGCAAGGCCTTCCTGATCATTCCAGCACACCACTTTTTCCCAAGACATTTTCCACAGCTCTGTGGTGATTTCTGTGTTTGGAATTCAGGAAATGATTATTTTCCAGGATTTCCAGGATTTTCCCAGACATTTTTCTGTGATTTCCACCACCTTTTCTACAGGATTTCAGGAAATCTCCAGCTGTATCCTGCACAAAGCTCCCAGCTGTATCCTGCCATCGCCGAGCCCATCGCCGCCCGAAAGGCACGCCACGCAGCACGCTCCACGTCTCAGGACTGACGATGAACGAAGGAGGAGATGATCGAGGAGATGATCACCGAGAACGCCTGGGAGTGAACCACTTCAGCATCTTAGAAACTACAGTTATAACAGGTTTAGAAAAGAAAGAAAAAACCTATATATATATATAGTTATATATATATATATTATATCACCTTAGATGAACCATCAATAGTTTGGAAATTCGTCCGTATGAGCCATATTATGAGCATATCATGAACCATATTGCCAATCTATAGTTATTGCAGTCATCCTGGAGGGAATATGGTTTCCATCACAACCGACAAATCATCGAAATTTGGGAAGTTCTCGAATCAGACCAGTTCGTCTATCTACTGGATGATTATAATTGGAAAAATGGATAGTTAGTCGCAAGTTACCCTCTGGTAAACAGCCACATAACTATGGAAAGATCCATCATTTTAGAGCTGGGTAAATCCACTATTTCTATGGCCATTTTCAATAGCTATGTTGGTTTACCAGAAGGTAACGGGAAATTGATGATGATTGGCGATACATTGATGATCTATAGATGTAGTCCCACGACTTCTGGTCAAAGATCGCATTTTATCGTCGAACCTTTCTCTGGCCAAATTATCATGATTCACTAACCTGAAAATAGCTGATATCATACGGTCAATTTGGGGATGATTCCCCTCATCAACTGTCATTCCAGTGACGTCACGACCTGAAGTCATGATCAAACTTGTCCCATATAATCCCAGTCAGATTGATGGTTTCTAGGCCATGTACCTATACGTATACGTATACCTATACATATACCTATACATATACGTATACCGATACGTATACCTATACATATACATATATATATATACATTTATAAATATGTACATATGGAATATCCATGAATTGTGTATGGCGATTATATTCAAGTTCTATGTATATATGTATACATATACATATATATATAATATTATATAATATTATATAATATTATAAAATGATATATATATATATACATGATTATATATGAATATATATGATTATATATGTAATGATCACCCGGATCTTCATGGAACTCTGCCTGCACCTCGCTGCACCAAAGCGAACCGTCAGATCCGTCATGCGATGACCACTGCTGTGCCATCCTTCCGTGCTGCTTTTTTTGGAGTTCACAACAGTGTTCAACATGCAAACCATTGGGTTTAACCATCAAAGAGGGTGATTCAAGTTGGGATTGGTCCCCGAGAATGGGGCACCCAGACCCAAAAGATTGCTTTCTTAGAGCGATGGATCTGCAGAGGGATCTATGATCGGCGGTCAAACTAGTTGTACACCTTTCAACCCTGGGATAGTGTCTACGAATAATATAAAAATGATTGTATTTTATAAGATCATCTCAGATATCATTGTGCATCTAAACAGACTTCTTCCTATATACACAAGTACTACCCTCTTGTTGTTCAACATAGTTATGGAAAATGGCCCGCTGATGATTTATAGATGATTAAAATGATGAATTACCTCTGAAAAATGGTGATTTTCCAGCTCGCAAACTGTCAAATAATCAGAGGGTATATGTTCACATTAAGATCTCCATTTATAGATGATATGCCCACATTTTCCAACTAAAACCTTCATATTTTCACACTTCCCGAAACACTTCGTCAGCTCTGCTCCGGCGTCCTCAGGCCGGGGAACCTCCCGAAGGTACACGACCTTCACCTCGGCCTCGAAGGTCGAGGTTTAGTTCGCAAAAATCATCTAGAAAATCTAATCTCTACTCTCATACAATATCTAATCTTAATATCATCTAATATCTAATAAATGGAAGATCATCTAATATCTAATCCTTGATTAAATCTAGATATGATCATAAATCTTGGAATAGCATCTAATATCTAATCCAATTAAAACCAATTCAATCTATGTTCTAATCTCAAAAACGGCTCAAATGAATTGAGCCATCTATTAAGCTAGCCTCTGGTAATTTAAGATAGCTATGGAAAATCACCATTTTAGTAGGTAAATCATCTATTTCTATGGTCCATGGCTTCCATAGTTATGTAAACGTTTACCAGGCCGGGTACTGATGTTGGGTTGTAACCCACAAACGTTGTATCCCCATGATTGTTTCATCCCCGCAGTCAGACTCCCATGTCATCGATCATTTTTGGGATCAATTTTCATGATCCTCCATGATGATTGACATGGAAATATGATTCTGTACCAAAATTCGTCTGCATTAAATCCACAAACTGAAATCAATCATTCATATCACCCAAAAACTGAATAAACCATACTTGATTAATTTAGATGGTTCCGCCACATGGAAATGGGTCAAAATGTAAGACCTGGCGGACCACAGATCTTAGTCTATGTATTTTTACTATGAACCATCAGTTTTGGGGTGCCCAATTTTGATTCATACCCAAATAATGATACTAAAATGATACTAAAATGTTACTAAAATGATACCCCTCAATGATCAACAGCCCAGGGATTTTCGAGAAATCGGGTTGGAATTGTAGAAGCAACCACAACAGGGGTGTAATATTGTGGGAAGATGGGATTAATAACCACTAACCAACAATATGATAGTTCTGGGTATCTATCGTATTTTATCATGCGCAAAAAGTATTCTGGTGATTTCACCAACAACTATGGCTTGGTTTGCTTAGGGAACCCCTAAAAAGATAGTCCCTAGTGGCTGATAGCAAGTCCTCTAAGTGGGCGAAACCCCTGTATAATTGGGATGATCACGTCACTTACAAACCAACTACTAGGTGGGATGACCAAGTAATTTTGCCCCATTGAAAACTATTACAACTCACTAAGCTGAATTTATTCACCATTTGGGGATGATTTCCCTTGCCAACCATCATCTGAAGTGAGGTCACATGGGGTCGCTATCAATACTGTCCTTACACTATTTATTATCATATACCTATTGGTGGTTGAATAAGGTGAACTGGAGGAACCCTCCATTTATCAACCAATGAGACTAGGACATCTTTGCCAGCAACGATTGAGAAAGCAAATCCAGGATTGGGGAAAAAACAACACCATGACCATATCTTTCACCATATTATTTTTTCGTTACCTATATACTGATTCAGCTATTATAGTACATTGTAATACGATATAAACCATTTCATGGAAGAACACACACGATGATTAACTATGAAAAAACCTTCTGTGAACCATTATGAACCATTAATAGTTGATATAGCTATTCTTCCTATTTCAACTTTTGAACTATTATGAACCATTAGTTAATTTATGAAGGTGAGTTAACTAATATTAATTATATATAATTAATCATTTTTTATCACAGTAACTCATACTATCAACCGTTAGTTATTAGCTATTATGAACACCATTCATAACTATTAAAGCCATTAAACACAACATATTTACCATTAATAACCATTATTAAATAGTTGATATGGCCATTATATCGGGGTTTCCAACAAGTCATTTTGGCTACCCCAACAGCTGGTGTTGTTTTGTTCGTGGAAATTCCTATTTTTCAATGGATGATTTAGGAGTACCCCTATTTTAGGAAACCCTAAAATATAACTATGGTGAAGCCATTAAGCTATTAACCATTATTCACCATGATTATATAACAACTATTAAAAGCCATAAAAATAACCATTATTCACCATGACCATTAACCATTATGAACCATTATAGCAATTATATTAAAGCCATTATGATCCATTATCAACAATTGCTAATAGTTGATATAGCCGTTATATAACTATGCTGAAGTTCCCCCACCTCCGCCTCCGGCATCGCTTGTTGCAGCTCCGCCGTGGCCTCCTTCGCGGCCGCCAGATGAGCGGCGTCTGCGGGGCCACAGAGAACCTCCGGTCCAAGCAGAAGAGCTGGGACGTTGTATGACGTTGTAGCTGTTTTTCCCAAAAAAAAAACTGGCAAATCTGGTTGTTGTTGTTGTTGTTCTTGATGATGATGATGATCATCATCATCATTATCATCACGTAGTGATAAAGTTGATGTTGATAGTGATGATGATGATTATTATGATGAACATGATGAACATGATGAACATGACGAACATGATGAACATGATGAACATGGTGAACATGATGAACATGATGAACATGGTGAACATGATGAACATGATGAACATAATGAACGTGATGAACGTGATGCTGATGATGATGATGATGATGGTGGTGGTGATGATGATGATGATGATGATGATGGTGGTGGTGGTGGTGATGATGATGGTGGTGATGATGATAAAGATAAAGACAAGGATAAAGATAAAGATGTTGATGATGATGCTGATGATAAAGTTGATACAGTTGAAAAAGTTGATACAGTTGAAAAAGTTGATAGAATTGAAAAAGTTGATACTGTTGCA